TTTCACCATTGTCTGTCTGCGGCAGACCTTTTCTAGTCGTTCAAAATGAAAAATTTAAAATAAATTGTAAGTGAGAAATATAATTATTTGAATTTAGGGGATATAGTATTCCAATAATTCCCCCTTTTTATTTAAATAATTTTTGATAGTAGAAAGAGTACATTCTATAATACCTTGTTTTTGAGGATTGTAAGGAAACTCAGTTTTATGACAAATAGTAAAATATTTACAAAAATTTTGAAAACTCTTGCTGGTATAGCTAGGAGCATTATTCGTCTAGATTATTTTAGGAGTTGGGAAGGTAAAATGTTTATACTAAACATTAAATGAAAAAGGAATTGAAGGAACCACAGATCTAAGTTAGGGTTTTCCTTGTGTTAGAGCCTAGAAAAATAAGCTGTTTGTTCATTGCAGGTAGGAGACAGCAAGGGACCCCCGCAGAGGGAGTGTTGCTACCTGAGCTGGAGTTCACCTTGAGGCATCAAGGCAATTCCCAAGGTCATACCGAATTCTTATATTTGTGAACCCCTCCCTCTCGAGCCAGGCAGAAGGTTTTCAATAGAAAGAGAGTGGCCTCATCTGCACTGAATTTTCTCTATTATTTACTTCCTGATAATTCTTAATGAAGATACAGAGAAGCTTGGCTAGGGGTTTTCAGTCAAGAACTGCTGGCCCCCTGTTTTATGCTCTGTGCTCCATCTTGTTCCTGGCTGTTTGTCTTATTATTAACTATAAAATTATTCTGTTCTTTGGGACCCTCCATTTGCAACACATAATAATAATAATATCAATATTGTCATCAGATCTTTAAAGCTAAAAAAATAGCACGTAACTTGCTTTCTAGTACTGATTTATAAAGAGGTGATTCAACATTGAATTTGTTAATACTCCAATATTCTGTTTTTTTTTCATAATTAGAAACATCTGTAAAAACGTTAGGACCTTTATGATACATATAGGTAAAGGCAAAAAGGTATGTTTCTGAAGAATTGAAGAGTCTATTAGAAGGAAAGTGTTCATTAAACCGTGTAGCTTTGACCTACACAACTAGGTTCAACACAGGCAAGCATTAATTAAGGGGCTATAGTGGAGAGTTTTTATTTTTACTCCTACAGGTTTTTATTTAAAGTAGAGCAATTAACATAGACACACACAACTCACATAGACTTGTAGTGACAGCCACTGGCATGTATATCTTGCATTATTGGCTGAAACATATGGAAATTTCTACCTAAGTATGTAGATCCTGGATAAAATGCATGGATATATGTAGGTGAGAAGAGGATGCCAAGAGCTGATTTTTCTTTTTAAAAAAATTTTTTTTAAATTTTATTATTTTTGTGTGAATGTACCGTCAATCAGATCTTACTGGTACAGAAGGAGATTGTCCCTCCTTCCCCGGCAGAGCATCTGGTGGATTCGAACCGTGCGCCTCTGGGATTGTAGTTGCAGCTCCTTGCCACTAGGCCACCAGAGCTCCCCAAGAGCTGATTTTTCAAAGATCTCTTGAGACAAAAAGTCTCTTTTGGCGCCGTGAAATGTTTGAAACACCCTCTTAGCATTTCCTAGCCTATGAGATTTGAAATTCATACAGATATTAACCTTATATCTGTCTCTACTAATTCTTGTTCTTTACTGAAACCTTTAAGCTGTATGAGCTCATCAGTATTATAACTTTGAACACAAGACAAAAAGACAACAAACACGGCAGACAAAAGACAAAACAAACATTGAGGCCTCTTATAACATCTTTCTCATTATTCTCAACTGTTCTTCATATTTCTGTTAACACATTTTCTTCTTATTCTTACCCATATTTTAGACTCTTCTGAGTTTTAACACTTTCCCTATTAATAACAAAGGAGAATTCTAAAGGGAGTTGCAGGTTCTATATCAGCTTTCCTACTAAAAGGGCAAGACTATAGAATTCAGCATCTGACAAAGCAGGAATAGATATAAAAGCTACAAATTGTTTTAATAATTTTCTTTCCCATAAATTAGCACTAATGTATAGCACATAAAATTGCATTTGGGCCTTTTGGTCATCAGATTCTGCACAATCATAAATATTCTTAGACCTTTCAACATTAAGAGAGGTTCTTAATTCAGAAAGAGTTAATGTTAATTTTTTGCAAAGGCCAATTAAGAGACTAATTATTTTTTACTAATAACAGACACATTAGCTTTTATATCCACAAGACCTGTAAAAGAAATTTGATTAACAGAAAAAGAGAGGACTTTTGATCATTAATGATGGTTTTTCCAAAACAAATATTTCTCAGTACTTCCAAATCCTCTTACTTTTGATCTCTTAATAGTAGGAAATGCATGATAAGGGAGAAGCAAAAGTTGAGCAATTATTTAACCGGTTTGTAGGAAAAGGAACAATATTTTTATTACTTCTAATGAAGAATTTAACATACTAAAGAGCTGAACAGAAGATTCCAAAAGGGAGCTTGGAATGACAAAGCAAAATATTACAATGAAATGTGGGAGGAGCTAGAGTTGGAAAATCAAAGGGCCAGAACTCATTCAGCATTTCTTAAGCTCAAGGAACTAAAGAACAAGTTCAAACCTAGAGTAGCTATAATCAAGGATGCTTTAGGCAGAATATTAAACAATTCAAGAAGTATTAAAAGAAGATGGAATATACTGAGTCATTGTATCAAAAGGAATTGGCAGATACAGAAGAATTCAATAAAATAACTTATGAGCAAGAGCCTATGGTGATGAAGGAAGAAGTTCAAGAACAGCTAAGATTTTGTTAATGAAATTCTAGTAAGAAAAAGTAGTGACAGGAATTTTCACAGGGCCAAAATAACGATAATAGTCATTTAAACAATCCCCTACCCTATGCCATTGCTTAGAATCAATAGTTCCTTCTTGCGGAAACCATGGGCAAACATCTTCTAAAAACAAGAAAAATTTATTTAAATCTTTTTTAGTTACCCTTATACCTCGTGCCTTGAGGGAATCCCTGATACCCTTTATGAACAATTCATGTTCACTTAATCCCTGTCCCATAATTCACTGCCCTTACCTCCTCTCATGCCTGTCTCACAGGGCGGGTAATCCGTGGCGGCAGCTACGTGCCTGTCTCACAGGATGAATCGTCCTGCGGCTGGCAACAGTGCGAGTCGTCACTCGTGGTCCCAGACTCACGGCAACTCAATGGACAGACCGGCTGGTCACTTCTAGCGGGCAGCGTTCATCATCCTTTCCCGTTCCTGGGCCCCATGTTGGGCGCCAGTTATGCCCCGGCCCGCGGGGAATCTTCAGTGGTGACCCTAGGAGGGGAAGAACGATAATGGGGTGGACAGGAGGCACAAAAGCAGGAAGCAAGTTGAATCTCCGATCACGTCTTCTTTTTATTGAAAGCACTCACAGTATATATATAGAAGCACAGTGGAGGAGAATAGCATGTCGTTTCCAGTAAGCTGAAAGTTATCTGGTAAACAGAAACTTAGCAGGGCGTTCCCAGTAAACCGAAACCTATCCTCCCAGGGTGGGGCAACATGTCCAGACATGTCCTTAGAGAATTACAAAATGGCTTCAGCTAGGTTGAACTAGCAGTCTCCAACAGTTGGGCCAGTCAGGTACAGGGTGCAGACTAGAATCTAGATTGCCTGATTTACTACCCTCATGTACTTTTGTTTTCCTAAGAAGGACTAATTTGTGTAATTTATCTTTGATAATTATACTGAATTACATATCTTTTCTCGGTCATATTCAGTATTATCCTACAGTGAATTGCAGCTAATATATTATCAGCTGAGTTAGCAATAAGAGCTATATGTTATTACCTAACAAAATCAGGGCTGCAGTGTGAGAACTCATGCTGCTTCCAGGAAAGTGATTTGGAACGTTGCGCTGTAGTAGCAAAATAATGTACTCTATAAACGTTGACTCTAACGGATTTTTATGAAAAGCAGCCTGCTGCTAAAATAATTAACCAAATAGTTTTTGAACCATCATTTATTCTAACAGTAAATGCTGATTTAAGACTTAAATAATTTACCTAAGCAGTTGTTCATAGACATCATACATTAAAAAAAAATAATGTAATAATAGTGAAGATAATGATGTTTATGGAATGCTATGTGTCCTGTTGGCACAGTACATAGTTTATTGGACTGTTAACTGAAAAGTCGGTGGTCTGACTCCACTAGATACTCTGTGGGAGAAAGATGGGTTAATGTCCTTCTGTAAAGGTTTGTAGCCTTGGAAACTTGATGGAGTGTTGCTCTGAGTTGGAATCCTCTCGATGGCAGGAGGGTTTTAATTTTGTTATGTGCCTGGCAATCTTGAAAGTGCTTTACATGTGTTAATTGCATGTGAGCCTCTCAACAGCCTTATGTATTAGGTGATAACTATGTTTAACAGATGAGTTAAAAGCACAGATAAGATTATTTTTAAGTAATGTAATTGAAGGATAGGAGAGTGGGATGCTGTAAAGTAATTGCAATTATATAAGGTATTAAATAATGCCATAAAATCTATAGAAGTGTATATATGTAATGTCATATAATAATGTCACTACATTTTGTGCAGATTTGATGTTATTATTTCTTCAGGAAGTTATAAATTGCAGGAAAGTATCATCACTTTATTTAAATTTTGTGACAGTTATTTTACTGTGTATTGCTTTAACATTTTTAGCATTAACAGGGAATTAAATATACAACTAAGAAAATGATGTTTTTATACCTTAATGTGGTAGAAAAATAAAAAGAGAATAAAATACTGAACTTTTAAAATAAGACTTTTCTCAGCCCTTTTTATTTCTTGAAAACTTTTAAAATTGTTTCATTATAGTCACTATGTAATAAAATAATTCTGTCTATGGGAAAATTGGTTCTGAATCATGACTGTGGACATTGTTGAATAATTTCTTGGAACAAGATTGCAATAATATAGTTTGGTTTTAATATGAATTTTAAGGAATGGTTGACTAAATGAAAATTTCTAAAATTACTCATATTTTTCTTTTTAAATCCAAGTGGTAAATGAGAATGTCAGCCTCGTGATTTCTCGACAGTTGCTGACTGACTTCTGCACACATCTGCCTAACCTGCCTGACAGCACAGCCAAAGAAATCTATCATTTCACCTTGGAGAAGATCCAACCTAGAGTAATCTCATTTGAGGAGCAGGTAAAAAGATGGAAATAGTCTCAGAATAATAAAACCTACAGCAGTGGTATTTGCATTTAAGATAGTGGCAGTTACGTTTAGAGATGTCATTTAAATTCTTAAAGAAAATAATAATTCAGATATACGTTTGACAGAATTGTTAAATGAGAGAACATTTACAATGTAAAAGAAAGTAAATATTAGAATGTTGCAACTCCAGTTAATGCTTTCTTATATATTACAGTATGAATTTATGAACCAAATATTACTCTTGATGATTTTGAAAAGCCAATAAGACTTAATCAGGTGGAAAGCATGGGAAAACAGAGCTACAGTATTACCATAATCCACACAATTATGATTTCATTTTATATACGATATTTATTGTGTATAATACACTAATACACAATTATTTCATTTTATCCTTTTCATAGTCTGTAAATGTAAAATTAATTTAAAAAATTTTGGTTGTTTAGATAAACTTTCACTGTTTGACACCATAACATATTGAATGAGAGCGTAGTGATAATGACAATTTATTTTACTGTAATTTAAGTTGAATTAATTGAACATTTATGCATATTATTCCAGGTTGCTTCAATAAGACAGCATCTTGCATCCATATATGAGAAAGAAGAAGATTGGAGAAATGCAGCCCAAGTGTTGGTGGGAATTCCTTTGGAAACAGGACAAAAGTATAGTAAATAGTGGATATTGAATGGATAAATAGAATTGTTCTTCTTTTTATGTCCTAGTGGAGAAAACATACTAAATGGTGACTTTAATAAGTAAATTTTGTAATATGTAAAAGGCTGTAAATGTTATAGAGAAAATGAATAATTGGGCTAAGTGAGAGGCAGGTACTATCATTAAATAGAGTAGTTACAATGGTCCCATTGCTCTAGTGTCATTTTTAATAGACTTAAGGAGATAAGGAAGTATTCATATGGCTTTCTGAGGGAAAAGTATCAAAGGTAGAGAGGATTTCTAATGTAGACACCCTGAGATGGGAATATACCTGCTGTATTTGAAGGAGAGCAAGGTATTAAAAGTATGTGGGATGGAATTTGCAAAGGGAAGAGAGGAAGGAAATAAAATAGAGGAAGAATGAGGACCTACTCATAATAGGCCATTGTAAAGACTTTGGTTTTTCTCTTAGAAAAATAAGGGAAAGAGAGAACTTTTTTTTTTTTTAACGAAAATGTGACATGATCTAATATTTTAAAGAATCACTCTGAATGCTGAATTAACTGCAGGAATCGGTAGGTAAGCATTCAGCTGCTAATTTAAACAGTGGTGGTTGGAACCCAGCACCAGCTCCATGGGAGAAAGATATGATGGTCTCCTTCTGCACAGATGCATAGCCTTGTATGAATGGACTGTACAAACCCCAGCCTAATGGTCCTGAGATCAGCAGAATTAGGTGATTCGTAGTTACCCTTGCTAATGGCTCTAAAGGGACCAAAATAGGAGGATCTAGATAGAATGTGGAAAAATGTGGAACAAAACAAAAAGACTAGGCTTACAGGCCTAGGAGAAACTGGTGGAACCCTGAAACTCTGACCCTAGTGAGGTAAATAGGGAGTTCTGGTGACCTCCTGGTTATATAGTTGCATTGCTAATTCAGAAAATCCACTGGAGGATCAGCTGTAAATTGGTCCTGAGAAGACAATGAGTGAGACGAGGTGAATAATAATACAAGAGAGGTTTGTATTCCTTAGCATAACCAACCATATAAGAGCAAAGGACAGCATTAATTAAGAAGAAATGGAAATGATAAGCAAAGGAAGGAAGTGAGAGGAGTGCTATTACACTTGTGGATTGCAGTCAGTGTCAAGAATCAAAATTATGAATTGTTGAATGGAAAATGAAATTAATTGGATATTTTTCTGTAGCAGAGTTCATTACATGATGTAAAAGAATAGATTATCTTTAACTGGAGTTAGGATTTTTTTTTTTAATTTGTTAATTGCTTTATAATCACAATAAATTGGTACAGGAGAAGGCCCTGTACAGAGCAAAGGTTCTAAGATAGAGGTGTTCCTTTAGCAAGGCTGAAGATTTCAGTCTCTAAGGTATTTGGAATTTGGGCTTCAGTCTTTGTCTTTGGATGGATCGCTGGGTGTGTTGGCTCAGCCCATGCTTTAACCAGATTTGAAGAGAAGAGTGGCTACTTGGCCCAGGTACAAGTAGACGAAGTGCTTCGTTTCATGTATCACATGACTACCAAATTTTCTCCCCATGATGTGGTACGAGGTGGGGCTGTACTTCTTGTCATTCTCCTCCTTGATATGGGCCACGATATCCTTACCTGTGTTGTAGTTCTCCAGTGCCTGGGTCACGCACTCCGCTGAGTCCTGCTGCATCATGTCTGCATTTTTGATCCCTACTTTTTGGTTGCACATGGTTATTGCAGAGTAGGGACTAGCATATTACTGCTGCTCCCAAAGCCGTGGCCTATCTTGGAGTTAGGATTTTACTCAATAATTAAAACAGCAAGAAAAGTGGATTAGAAATGAGTGCAAGTGCAAGGCAGTAGTTGTACCTGACCATAAGACTTCAATGAGACAAGGATGGAAATGAAGGGGAAGGAGACAGAGAATAATGGGATCATTATTGGTTCAGATTCATAGTAGTAGTTCACAGGGTTATTTGGGTGAAGGCACGTACAGAAAAGGACGTAAACGGAAGTTAGAAAAGATTAAGTTCAAGATTTGTAACTATTTTTCAACTAGTCTTTTTGATATGAACCTGGTTTAGAATGGCCAATACCAATTAGTTTCAAATCACTCATGCTGAAGCAGTCAATTGTTATATGTTCTGCTTTACTTTGAAAACATCAAGTTTTCTTAGGTTCATACTTGGTGTATTCCATGGCCAGTTATTAATGGTTGTGTGTACCTGTTTCTCTTCATTTAGAGTCTCACTGTATCAGCAAATGCAGGTCCTTTATTGAGAGAAGGCTTTAATTCATTCACATCATTATGATGGACTACTTTGAGGAGGTAGCCCTTCCTCAATTGCGTTTTGAGTACATTCCAATCTGAGATCTCGTCTTCTGGCAGTATATTGAACAGGTGTTCCATTGATTTGATTTAGAGGGTTTTTGAAGGCTGTTCTTTCCTGAGTGGATGACCAGTTCTCCTTAGTCTGTTTAGTTTGGAAGCTTTACTGAAACCACCATTGGTGACCCTGATGATACTTAAAATGCTAGTGGTATAGCTTCCAACATCACAGCAACCTGCAAACTAACACAGTGGGGCAAAATGACAGAAGAGTGGTGGTTTGAAACTTAACTATGTCATCAGTAAGTGATGGGAAGGTGTATAATTACACCACATGGAGATAATAGTTATTATTATATTGAGATACATATGTCTATATCTAACTATATATTTTAATGGTATCTTAATCAGTTACTGTTGAGTCACTTCTAACTCATAGTAGATGTGTGATGGTTTACATACCATTTTATTCCTTTTTTTAGCAAAAATACACAATGACTATTATTCCATGGAACTCTTGAATGGTGTAAACAATTAAGCATTTGGCTTGTAATCAAAACGTTGGCACTTTAAAACCACCCAGAAGAAAAATCTGTCCATCTCCTTCCAAAAGGTGGCAGTGACTGAGTAACCTATGGAGCACGGTTCTCTGACACACATGAGTCACCGTGAGGCAGAATGAATGCAGTGGCAGCTGGTTTACACTCAATTTTAAACCTCATTGCATTAATTATAAATAGCTGCATACTTTTTTAGTGTGGATAATTAATCTCAAACCTACTGCTGTTGAGTCATTTCTGACTCACAGTAACCTGGTTGGACAGAGTAGAACTGCCCTCCAGGTGTCCAAGGCGATAAATCTTGGTAGAAGCAGACGGCCTCATCTTTCTTCTGCAGAGCAGCTAGTGGGGTTTAGCCTTTTAATTAGCTACTGAATGCTTTACACAGCTCCACCAGGGCTACTGTGCTTTAGATAACTTCATAGTATACCATCAAGGAACTCTTAGGTACACAATGATTAGTAATAGGCCAACTGAAAATTGATGACTCTCCCAGCTGTCCCATGGGGGAAAAGACTGGTCGATCTGGTCCTATAAATATTGTAGCTTAGAAAACCCTATGGGATAGTTCTCTTCTGTTGTAAACGCTTCCTATGAGTCCTGTTATATAGGGTCACTAGGTAGCTCTGGTGGCCTAGTGGTAAGAAGCTACTCTGAAATCTGAAGGAACATGGTTTGAATCCACCAACTACTCCACAGGAGAATTATGGGCAGTCTTCTTCTGTGTGATTAACTGCCTCTGAAAACTCACTGGAGGGTCAGTAGTGGGTCGATTCTGACTCAGTGGTACACAACATGAGTCAGAATTGACTCAGTGACACATTGTATCAACATAGGCCATACTTTAATTGATAAGCTAAATGCTCATAATGAGGAATTTCTACATTTTCTATTAGAGATATTACAAATGAATATACCTGTGTGATTTTTTTTTAATTTTTTAGGATTTTTTTTTTAATTTTTTAGGATTTAATTTTAGAGGTTATTTCTATATACATTTTAAAGAGTACAAATGATATTTGGAGAACATACTACTAATTTATTCTCCAGGGAAGTTAGTATGTGATATGTTACTGAACAGGGTGTTTTTTTTCTTTTATGATATTTGATTTGTGAAAGACCTTATCTGAGGAATAGAAATCATGTTAACAAAATTATAAAAGTTAAATAAAACTTGTTTTAGGAATATTTTTTGTTTTTCATAATGCCTTAAAAAACCACAAAGACTTTTTCTTGATAAAATATGTAATAATTTTGTGTTTTTTTGGTTGTACCTCAGACAGTACAATGTAGATTATAAACTGGAGACTTATCTGAAGATTGCTAGGTTGTATCTGGAGGATGATGATCCAGTCCAGGCAGAAGCTTATATAA